GGGGCATTCTGGTTAAATGTCCGAAGCATTTAACTCTTTGACGCTCAATGAAATTTATTACTGGTGGTATTCCGGTTTGTAGGCGTATGGTCTCGTTCTTTCTGCGGTCTCTTCTGGTGGCATTGATGGTTTTGCAGAGACACCTCATTTTAGCATGCATTGGTTTTTCTTTCTTGTGCTTTGTTTAGGGATAATGTTTGGCAAACGCACCAATGCTGTGAAGCCCTACTTTTTTCCCTTTTTTAACATTAAAATGTGAATTCAAACAAAATATTTCTTTAGCACACGCAACCAATACATATAGGCCTAATTTAGGTCTCTACTGGAGGAAATTTGACTTGTAAAAGGGTTCTTGGGACTGCCGGCGCGTGGATCAATCACGTGATCAGCTATATCGGATGTCACGTGCCTGTCTATGTCAGCAGGCAAAGCGTGACGGATAAATTTGCTCTCTGCACGGGAAGGAATTCACAAACAACAAGTGAGAACTGGGATTGTGTGATAACTACATACCTGTCTGTCTGTTTTGTCTGTCTACTCGGATCTATTTAATTATTTGTCTGTCTTCCTGCCTGTTTGCATGTCTTCTTAGATACTTCCGTGCATTCAAAGTGTACCCTTGAGAGGACACACACACACACACACACACACACACACACACACACACACACACACACATACACACACACGCGAGCGCGCGCGCACAACACACATTAAAAAACACACAGAGGGATAGAGAGTTTGAGTGAGACTGTACGTGTGCGTGAAACAGAGAGAGCAAGAGGGAGATAGAGAGATCGACAGAGGGAGAGAGAGAGAGAGAGAGAGAGAGAGAGAGAGAGAGAGAGAGAGAGAGAGGGCGTAAGCAATGGCGGATCATCATCATCAGCATCATATCATCAAGGGTCAGATCTGCAGCAGACATCGGCGATCATGGTTCTCTCTATTCATTCCTTTGCTCGGATGCTCTTAAAAAAGCTTCATTACCCTGATCTTTCCCTATTACTCATCTCTGTTTAGGTTCTCCAAGTAGGTTGCTCTGAGCATGCATACCCTTGCCTCGTTTGCCTTCACGTTTACCAGTGAGAGCTAGATGTTCAAGATCTTCATGTCTATTCAGGTGTCCCAGAAACTATTTTTTTCTGATTGTTTCTATCAGTGAGCGTCCTACTTGGGCGGGTCCTTACTCTTATTTTTACACGTCGACCTCTGATCGAGCTTGGGAGGACACCTTCGGGAATCCAAGTCTCTGTGTGGCTTCCGATGGAGAGTCGTATGCTTTGGCAAAAACAAAACAAAACAATCAATTCAACAAAAAAATCGAAAATATTATTTCCCCATCGTCACAATTTCGACACTATATTTTGTGAGCTGTCTTTCAGTGTCAAGGAATACCCCAGGCTGGGAAAAAGTCCGCTTTCCGGTAGCATGGTGGAGAGAGTCAATACAAAAATGTTTTCATCGAGGATATTATTTTAGGTATAAATCTAGAGCTATAAAATTATTGACTCGCGCCTCTAACTGCTACACTACATGACAGACACGGTGTGTGGTTGACTGGTGCTGTGGTGTGGTTTGTTCCTTCTTTTTTATTGATCAGCTATTGTCCTTATCTCTCCTTCTTTTATGTTATAATACATTATTTTCCAGTAACACCTCCAATCTTCATCTCGTTATGAATTTATTTGCGTCGAAATTTCCTTAAACTTTTCTTGATTATAAAAGTACAGCCCCTAGTTCTTTTCAGTACAGTACAGTAATGTTAATTAATATTCTATTGTTATAGTTCTTTACACAATGGGGGTCTCTGACTTTTCGTCCGTGTCAATAAGGATCGAGACAGGTTGCTACGACAGGACTACACAAAGTACTAGAGTAAAGGCACTATTTGCAGCCGGCCGAACTATGTAGCCACTTTCCTTATAAGATAAATAACTCAAGTCTTGTTTAATTTTCCAAACGGAAACCAAGCTCCAGTGATGCACTGGCTTGAATCATAATATGCTCAAAACAAAGATGGTCTCGATAGGCAGCAAAGTTTGAGAGTGGCAGTGGTTTGAAGAATTTGGTCAATCAAAATATCCATCATGTGTGAAAATTTGACTGGTCACTTGTCCATGGTCATTACAAAGCTTTCTTGATATTTTTATTCGACTATAGGCTCATGTGTTGCAGTAATGAATAAATACCATGTGTAAATGTGTTAACATAAAGAAAACAACAAAGGGGACCCAGGGAGGGGGGTGGCTGCATAGATGTTCCCTTATTTTTAAAAAGGGACTTCTTGCGATCGGCGACGTCTGCAACAGGTCCACTGCATTGGAGAAGGGGCATTGTTGTTGTGGTTAGTTGCTAACAGTGCTCATTTAACAGCAATTTAGCTTATATAAATGCATTCAGAAAGCCTGCTTTATAGTTCTTGACTTCAATGCGATAAATCAATCAAGACTGGTACATCAGATTCGGCGCAGTCTGAAGAAACTGCCCTGCTACGTACCCCTTAACAGGGTGACCGCCAGGCCCCGGGAATTTGAAAAAAAAAATCGCCGAGACCTGGGAATGCCCCGGAAATTTGAGGAAATCTGTAAATTGCCCCCGGAATGACCCAGGGAAATAATAATTAACGGGAGATATACATGATACGAGGGAAATTCTAGGAGTTTGACTTTCTTTCAATTTTTAAAGGTGATATAGGTTGATTATCGACTAATTAGAAGAACTAGGACGGAATTTTAAAAGTTGTTATTAAAAAGTTGTTCTCTGTGGCGGCCATCTTTGATGTTTAGCCATGTTGCGGGGACAGACGTTTTCCACAGAAAATACTCGAATTTAAGCCTCAGACTTGACACACAAATACACAAGCCTATTATCTGTGATCCGATGCTAAGATTGTTTTTCTATTTAAAAAAACAACAACAAAAGTATTTATGTATCACCGGACGATTTACGAAAAAAGGGGAAAAGTAACACAACATCGAGAATATTTTAAAAAGTAATCAATATTTCGCAAAATACTCGCTTCGGATCACAAAACTGACTATATAGCAACCTTGTGCCAATTTTCAAGTTTGTAGCTCAGATAGGATTAAAAAAACGTCTGCCCCCGCATAGTCACTATATCGGAAAAGTAGTTTTTGAGAAAAACGCAAAAGAAAAACCCCACCGATTTGACAACCTTAATGTTTGAAAACCATAGTTTTTAAAACGATTAATGTGATATTTTTAAAACGTTTGCCTCTCTCTGATATATTAAATTGAAATAATTGGGTTATATGTTCATTTCCCCCCGAAGTAAGCATTCAATGACATGTGAACATGACCACCTTCAGTAATTGTTAGTTAGTTACCCTTGACCAGTCACGTACAGATAAGAACAATTGTTCAGTAACACGCTCCGAGATTACACCAACACACACACACACACACATGCACACACACATACACCAACCATCAAACAAACAAACAAACACATACACACATACGCACTCACACTCTGGATGTGGGTGAGTGAGTGCGCGCGCATTCGCACATGTGTGTGTTTGTCACGTATCCCAACTCTGACGAAATCCAACCAAGTGCTCACACTTTTAAATCCGTCAAGGGCACTGTAGAATGAATTAGGAAAATGAGAACCATTTGTGAATTTAGTCTGACAAGGTTACAGGAGAATCCCACTATTCGTTACAAAAGTTCTGGGCTGTCAAAGAATGCGCTTTATGTGGCGATAGTCATGAGAGACACACACTCCCTTGTTCGGCGTTGAAACGTGATTTACTACCTTCTGGCCTTCTGGCACTGCTCTCGAAGAATTTAATTTGTCGAGCAATGTGATCCACGTTTTGCCTCAGTTCACAATGGCTGGGAAAAGTCTGGACACACATCTGCACCACAGTTCGAAGCCCAACGGGTTCAGGCTGGGATTGTGTGAAGCTCAGGCACAAGGTATACCGCAACTTCTGTTGAAGTGATTCTGGTTCCACTCGATGACTAGAGCTTACAGTGTGCTCCTTCTTGCTTGAACCACGGCCGTTTCCGCTCCTGAGGTCCCACATTATCTTCCCAATGATCTTCAACACAGATTAAAAATCTTCACTGTTGCTATACCATAGTCTTCAACCATGAACCAGTTCGGACCAATTAATCCTACTGCAACCCACGCATTCTGTGTGCGCAGGTTGCGGTCAACGACGTTGTCTGGTCTTTCTGAACTCCTGTGAATGTCATTTCTTGTGTTCACGTCTCTGTTCAAATTAAAAAGGGCTTCTCTACAGAACCATTCTTTCTATGAATTAATTATCATTATCATTATCCCCAAGAAACCATAACCACCGTTTGATCTGTTACCTGGCGTGGGAACCGGAAATGACTTGGTATATCGAAATGGCATGCCTTCAAATCGAGAAAGTGTATTAACATTGTGTAAACATACATTTTTCGAAAGACGGAGTTCAACTTTCCGACGACTAAGCATGTCGTTCACCTTTCCTTTCGTTAGACACAGATACACATGTCCGGCCTTTTGAAATCTACATACCGTCCAAAGATAGTGTTGTTTGATGGCAGACAGGTGCCATGAACCTCTCAAGCAGCCCACCTCCTAAATAATCTAAATTGTGTCCCAATGGGAGCATATTTACACGTTTAGAATTATAATATTACCATTACATAAATTTTCTTCATTTTCTGAGTCTTTATAAACTATTTCTTCTTTTTCACTCTAGCACTTACATATGAAAAATGTACATAGTAAAATACACACATGTGTAACAGATTTTTAGGTCAGGCGTTTTGTTTTAGACATGAATATATTCTTTGCATTTATAATATCTACATAGGAAAATTTGTCCTTACTGAAAATATATCTTATTCGTGCCAATTTTGCTATAATGATCATGCTAGATAGGCCTACCATTTAACTTCTGTGCAAAATAATCATAGATAGCACTTTTGGCTCAATCCTTTCCAGAGAAAGATTCCTGGTTCTGAATTATCAAGATCAATTTGAGCCTGCCCTTGGTCGCCTTATGGAACTGTACGTGCAAGGAAAACTGAAGGTAAAAATAGTTCCTTATTGCTAAATCCTAGGCGATGGAGATCAGTGTGGTGTAGTATTATTCTTATTATTTCATTTGGGAGGTCTGTTCTTTGACCCATTTTAGCCTGTAATTTTCTGTTTTAGTTTTTATTTTTGCATGCTACTGAAGACACATTATAAGTTACCGATTTGTACCTAGATTATTATTACATTTTTTTAGATCCCAGGGTGAGGAGGGATGGGAAGTGGTTCTGTCTTCCCGAGTGATTTTTGATTTTTTAAATCTGCTGTTTACTTCCTGCTTTTGAGCACACTTTGTTTCAGACATTAACTTTTCACTCTTGTGAATGATAATATGTGTCACGTCATGATGGAATCAGGCGCTCGTCAATTTTTTGGCATATGGAGTTATTGGTATCATCTGAAGAAAGCTGATTAGTTTGCCTAGCTTCCAATAAAATAAGCATCAACTTATCTTGAATAGAACTCAAGATGTCTGCAAGTGTGAGGTCACCATTTTTCAGTGTTGAAATTATCGAGAAAATGGCCGCCAAAGTTTGGAAACTCTAAAAGCTAAAGAGTCTGAAAACTGAAAAATGACATAGTTTGTGCCTTTAATCAATGGTTTTCAGTAAAATTCACATGGGGATGTGTTTTTATATGGACATGCAGGAGGTTAAGTCAAAAAAAAAAAAAAGATTAAAAAATTTTAACTTGCGGAAAAATGCCTGTTTCTCAGATTTTGTTATTTTGACGAAATCCTGATTTCACCACGCTGCCTCACATATCAGCATTCATTTTTAAGTACCTGGGTATATTATTATTGCCAAAAGAGGAGTTCATTTCATTGTTCAAGTGGTCTAAGAGTAACTAGTCATCAACAATATGTGAGGCAGCGTGGTGGAATCAGGCTCTCGTCAATTTTCGGGCATATTGAGTTATTGGTGTCATCTTAAAGCTTGTTCATTTGTCTTGCTTTCAAGAAAAAAATTAACCATCTATCTTCAATAGAAGTGGAGATATTTTGGATTGAAGGAGGTGGGAGTCACCTGATTTAAGAAGTAAAATTAGCGAGAAAATTGCTGCCAAAGCTTGGTAAATTCCAAAGCTGGAGAGTCCATGGAATCTGTAAATTTATATTTTTGTGCCTTTAATCAACGTTTTCGTTGAAATCCTCAAAGGAATGTGTTTGTAAATGGACATAAAGGTGTTGAGTCAAAAAATAAAAATTTGATAAAAATTGCAAAGCAGGAAGAAAACTGCTGTTTTCTTCGATTTCATTATTTTGACGAGAGCCTGATTCCACCACGCTGCCTCACATATATATTCAGTATTGCTGTGCTCCTTTTAGTCTTGCAGTGCTATGAATAGTATATAATATAGATGTAAATTGTGTTTTGTTTGGTATAATGTCTGCTGATGGACAGATAACAGACAAAAGTGGTAATAGTTTTTTTCGATAGGTGTGTTTCACAAAGCGTCTTGTTTGCCTACTAGAGGATGCTTCTGGGTCTTGCTGAAGCTCTCAGGTTGAGACTTCATGTCGGACACAATGTTTCTCGAGAGTTGTTTTTTTTCAAACACATTGTCTAAACTTACTGTGGAGATCTAAATTTCATTTTGAAATACCATACTGTTTTGTATCTGTTTATTACCAAAGAATGTACTCTTTCCTTTGTCCTAATTCAATAAAATGATAACATGTTTGTAACTCAGTCACAAGTGTTATGAACTACATAGAAATAATTTTGAAATACTTTTAGGCTTACATTCTAAATTCAAGCTTCCTACAGACAGTGGCAATGGACGTGGAAACGCCTAACCTCATATTTTACTCTTTAAGAGTCAATATATTTTGAACCTCAAAGCAACAATGTTGTTTCTAAATCCATGTACGAGTACGAACTCATTTTGGTTCTTTTTGTTCTATCTCAAAGGTGAAAGAAACAATTGAAATGGGCTTGGAAAACGCTGGGAAAGCCTTTGTCTCCATGATGAAAGGGGGTAACATCGGGAAGCAGATTGTGCAAGTGACAAGATGACCTCTTCACTAGTGGGTTTGGTTAGGTAGTTTTGTCCCATTGCAATGTGGTTCTTAGGGCGAAGTCCATGGCAATGAAGTAAAACTTAAGTCGAGTCTACTTTGAATTTTTGAACATTTGAATGAGTGTGTGTGTGTGTGGGGGTTGGGGAGAGGGGTGGGTTAGAGTTAGAGAAGAGAGTGGACTGCTTTTTGCTAATGGAAAATAATAATTTAAAAAAATCTTTGGCTCTCTATTTTTTAATCTTTAGTAGTTATTGTTGAAGAAGTGATTCATTTGTCAACAAATATAGTGTATTTGATTAAATTTTCAAGGAAACTTACACAATCAACACTGAGGTTGTGCGAGTTTCCTTGATAATCTAATACTAATAGAATCGTATTTCAACCTGATTGATGCAATCCTGCTTTTGTCAAGGCGAACTTGTGTGACTGCAACAATGTGATTTTTGGTGCTATAGATCAAGCATACTGATTTTTATACTCCTGTTGTTTCCAATAAAATTTTGTTGAAGATTGATGTGCATCCATTAATTACACTGAATGACTTTTCATTCTGCATGTGTTTGTTGCTTTGATTTATTCCTGAAATGCAAAGTTTTTCAAATATGTATTTCATCATGGTTATTAGGTCTTTGTGAAAATAATGGAGTAGATCAAACTAGCATTTTTCCGAACATTGGATAATTTTTATCAATTTTTTAATTTTGGGCTCAACACCTTTTATGTACATTTACAAACACATTTCTGTTTTGATTTTTATTGACACGTGTTAATGAAAAGGACAAAAGTTTCAATAAAAGCAGTTTCCAAGAACACTAGAACTTTGGAAGTCAAACTTTGGCGGCCTTTTTTCTCGCTAAATTGTTCTGACACCAGGTGACCCCCTACCTCTTTCAATCCTGAATATCTCAACTTCTATTCAAGATATATAGGTATTGTTTTCATTAAAAGCAAGGCAAATGAACAGTCTTTAAGATGATACCAGAAAATCCATATATGCCAAAAATTGACGAGTGCTTGATTTCACTGCGTAGTGACACGTTTTTTTGTCTTTAGCTTTTGTGATTCGCTGCTATTGCAATACACCTCAAAGAGAAAACCCGAATAAAATAAATGTAGGTTTACTCTTCATCTATAATTGAGTTTTATCCTCTTCTTTCCGGTTGTACTTAATGTGTATATTTTATTTTTGTTATAATCACACACACGCACACTCACACATATAAACACACATATACACACGCACACATAAACACACACACACACACCCACATCTTACTCTTGATGACGACTATGAATAATCTGAGAGCTAAGGTCCACATACTCCACTTTCGTACACTTACGTACTCACAAAGTGCGTATGGAAGCGTTCGGCCTTTTATTTCTATATTACCTGTGCCCACTGCGGACGA